TCAAGGGACCACGTAGGACCAGGCAAAAAGTATGGTACTACAGTGGGACTAGTAACAAGGACCGCGGGGGACTAAGTAGATGAGTATGGGTCGGCGGAACCACCGACGAGACGGGACAGGTACCAGCGGGACCAGCGCCAGGAGCTGTTGACGGAACAAGAGACGTTTGAGCAAGTGGGGACGAGTGACGATCCAAAAGGGGAACAGGCCGCCGTCCGGGATGGCAACAGGAAAAGATAATGGACTAGGAAAATAATAAGAAAATGAGGAGTCAAACACCAACTGGAAAAACTGTCGCCGAAACGGAAGAGGCGGGCACGACACGGGAAAGGCGGGGAGAGCCTGGGAGGTCCCAGGAGAAACCAGATTAAAATATGCTAACGATAAAAATAAATGCCAAGGGGACGGCACCTGCGGGCGGCACCGTCCGGGCCGGGTGGCCGGAGGGATACTAAGTGTCCCCATGACAAGCGCGGACGGAGAGCGTCGGGGGGGAAGAAAGAAGGGAGTAGCGGCGGCAAGAGGGGCCGGCCAACGGCCCAGGCTATCCCGGACCGGCCAGGCCAAAGAAGGGAAAGTTTCAAGGGCTCCACGTGGAGAAAAGGCTGGCCGGAGAAAAATCGGAGCAAAGGCAGCCTTGATCTGGAAGCAGCGGCAACAAAAARGAGTCCCCTTGGACCTTGGGGGTGCCATTACTGCAGTCCGGGGTGTAGCGGCCATATGCCGGCTGCAAAATCAGACCTTGGGAAAGGTCCAACAGCCAGAAAGAGAAGAAATAGTTGTTGGACACTTGTCCCAACAGTAATGAGAGAAAGAGGGGAGAGAAAAGGCGGACAATGAGACAAAGGAGGAGGAAGGAATGGAGGAAAAAGTGCCGCCAGGTTGGGACTGCAGCAGTAGGGATGGGCAGGTCCCAATGATGTCCTCATCCCTCCTAGATCCTAGGAGTGCAGTCCGGATTGCAGAGATAAGGTCCTTGGGGCATTATCTCTGCAATATCTGAATTTAAGCAACAAAAATAAGAAAAAATGCTGATGTGAGTTGGCCAGCTCATTTTTGGGCCTTAGATCTGAGATTTGATCTTGCGGAGGAGGAAATTTAGTCGTTTTTTGTGGGCTGACACAAAACCGCTAGCTCCGGAATGAGTTGGCAACAAATTGGAGGGAAAACAAGGGGAGGAATAAGACAAAACTGCGAATTTGACCCAAGATCTGGGTTAGGTACATCAAAAAAAATAAAAATTGAAGTAAAGGCTTAAATTTGGGGCAAGGGGAGCTTGGGAGTGGCTCGGAATGATGAGGACCATGGATCTCAGCCAGATCCAAGGCTGAGATAGGAGCCGCCACTTGGAAAATCCAACGGCCTACTCAAAAGAGGCCTAGACTAAGAAAAAAATGAAAAATGGGCCTCCAGGCCCTCAATTCTCGGTAAAGGCTGCATTTTGGGGTAGTAGTACCCAAAAGGCAGCACCTTTTGAAAAGAAAAGAGGCCCGGGTAGGCCAAGGGGTAGTCCGTGAGGGTACCAGCCTCTCTGACTGCATGTACCTGGCGAAAATGAGGCCCAGGTACCTCCAGGTAGGCCGAAACTGGAAACTTGGCCCTAGGGGTGCCTCGCTCCACCTAGAGGCGCTTGGAGGGGCCTATAGGTTGGGAGGTGCACCTGTTCCAGCCTATGTAAGCTGGAGGTGTAGGCCGCAACTCTCATTTGAGCATGAGAGGTGCCCATGCTGCCCAAATAAGTCTGTGAGTGAGTACTAGTGAGATAGAGCAAGGGAGTGAGGGTCGGAGCTAGCCTGTAGCCTGGCTATGGTGGTAAGACTGAGAAAGGTGACCTAGAGGCTAGAAGGGAGCAAGGAGAGTGATCCGCCATAGCCCTCAAGCTGTGAGGTAGGAGGAGAGGCTGAGACAGGGGTCCCCTTAGCCTTTTTAGAGGGGAGGACTCCACAGCCTTAGAGCTAGGAGCCGGCCATAGCTAAGAAAGAGAAGTGAGGGAAGAAGGAGAGAACGTGGGAGGGAAGAGAGGCAACGCTGAGGAGGCTAGAACCAAGCATTGGGGCTCCACTGCCTAGAGAATAGCAAGAGGTCAGTGAAAAGGAGGGAGGCCTCCCTCTCCTTCTTCCTCCTCTCCCTCCTTCTCATTCTTTTTCTCCTTCTTCTCTCCTCTCTTCTTCTTCTTCCTCTTCTTCTTCTTCTTCTTCTTCTTCTTCTTCTTCTTCTTCTCCCTCTTCCTCTTCCTGTTCTTTTCTTTCTTTCTCTCCCCCTCCTCCATCCCCCTCCTTCTTGTCAAAACTACGATTTTTGCTGCTCTGGGAGGGTGTACATTTTGCGATTCACTTAGTGATACTTCCGTGATGCTTCCCCTTAAGTAGATGCTTCAAAGCTTGAATTTTCATTGTTTTAGGTGTTTATACATGTTGCGATTCACTTGGTGATACTTCCGTGATGTTTCCCCTTGAGTAGATGCTTCCAATCTTGAATTTTCACTGATGTAGGTGCTTGTACA